AGGCTAATGACGCTGGACAACTCATCGCTTTGGATCGACTGGTAGGAATTTCCGGAACTGACCAGAAATGGGAGGAGACCGGGGTTCTTCCAGATCACTGGCTGAACTTGTGTCCTGACAGCTTCGGTTTCTTGGCTATATAATCAGACTTGACAGGACTAAAACCATAGGTCCATCCTATGACAGGCACAGGATTGGCTGGGACCCTACTGGTACTGTCGTGTCTGTTGCCTTCGCTGTGAGGACGCTCTCATGTAGATATTAAGCGCTGTGTCGGGGGGGCGTATCTCCGCGCAACCTCCAGTGTGATGGATTGTGGCCATGAACATGAGAAATCCCTGCGGGGGCTGTACGGTGGGTTGGCACCCCGCCGAAACAGTCGTCGAGTGGCTTTATGATTTAAGCGTTTCTAAGCAGCCGAATAATAGTCCCAAACTTGGTGTTAATTATAAACGGCAGCCAGATCAAGATCTGCAGAGGACCCTCTCACACGGTAGTAAGTTAGGAGGGTAGGAACTGTGATCTGTGCAGGGTTACTCTGGCACCATGAATATAGACTAATGCCATACCTGTTCCTGTTAGGGCAAAACCATGCGGTATGACGTGAATTTAGGTCACCAGCAATAATTAGGTGATTTGATAATGATAAAAGTTTATCAAAATCACTGACAGGAAAAGTACCTCTTCCACGTGCAGCTGAAAGTGGAGGTAAGTATGCCGAAATGACTGTTAGTGGGGGAGAAATTTGGAGGAAAATTTTGATAATTATCGCTTCCAAAATACTTAAATCAGGAAGGTATCATGTGGTGCTTAATCGAACGCTTCACGTAGATACAGGTGTCACCATTTGCTTGCCTGGTTAATGGCACCCTGTCAGTCGAGTACATGCCATAATTCCCAATTTTGGGAGTTCTCCCTTGGGTTACGTCTTTGACCTCATCGATCTTATTGATGAGGCATTTTGCATTTCATGTACACATGATAAGTTCTCTGTTGGTAATAGAACTTTGTCTGTTTTAAACAGTTGAATTTAAGGCCGTGGTAAAAGGTTACAGCTCTGAAAAACCTAAGACACGGGTCTAAACTAGCCGAATAATCCTAATTTGAAAGCATAACATAGCTTTCATAAATTAGAAAGGTCCTCGTAAAAGTGTCTACCTGTCTAAGCTTTGGCAGGGCCATTTGAAAAACTTGCAGTAGAATAGGCCTATTTACCGCTGGGTCGCGCGAGATTTCAATAAGGCAATAATAAAGTAGAGGCAATAAAGCAATAATAAAAATTTCAATAATAAAGTAGAGGAGAAAACATCCTCAGAGTCTTCACTTTCTACTTGAGTAACCAGGGGACTACTTGACGCACATTCGCCGTAGCCTCCGGATTTGGACTCTTGTTTTCGGGTCGGGGCTCCGTAGGTCCTTTACCTAGGGCCGCTGCATAAGACAACGAGCTTGTGCTTTAGTAGGTGCAGTCACAGTGGCTGGTTGTACAGCTTTTGCTGGGTGTTTGTAGTTCCCTGAGGGGGACTGCAGGAGCAGCTGCCCTAGGAGCATTCTTTTTTGAGCTCTTTTTGTTATTACCTGGGTAACAAGGACAAGACTTAAATGCTGGATGAGTACCTCCACAGTTACAACAGCAAGCAGGTTGATCGTCACTTAAAGTGCAATCTTTTGCCCAGTGCGGGCCAGCGCATCTCACACAACGGATGTTAAGGGTGCAAATTTCAGAAGAATGACAAAATCCTTGGCAGCCAAAGCATTGAGTAGGGCCTTTACGGCCTCTGTAAGCCTCATAAACGCCCCGCATATCGGTAACGCCCCGCATATTGGCCACTGAAGGGATGAGGTCGGACTTGTATATAAAGAAGTGGCATAGAGTGTCTAGTGCACGGTTTAGTCAACTGAGCGCACCTATGCACTTGAAAACCCCAGGATTCCACTTCATTTTGTACGTCCTCGAGTTCAGTTTCTTTCTCTAATAACAATTTTGATACGACTGTCTTGTTTCAGATTGAAAGTTTTAAATTGGTTGCTGGCCTGACGCATCCATTGTGTAACCTTCCGAAAATCTAGTTCGGTTTGATAATTTTAGAAAAAGTTCAGTGAGAATGCGCTTAATATTTGGGCAATATCTCGCAGGAAAGTCATTCTGCGTTCTCCACTGCTTGCTGCTCTTTAGATGAATAGCCAGAATCACAGCTTTGGAGGGGGTTGGGAGCGCACTGTGACCAAAGAATCTCTAAGGAGAAGAATGAAAGCTTCCATAGACGCAATGTAAACCTGTTTCGCCTCTGCGCCTCTGTACAGAAGAGCCACGGCTATGCAGTGAAACACCAGCCCAGGGTGGAATTTAAATAGCGCAGTCCGAGGAGATAGTAAATTTTGTACATTGAAATAACTCAAAATGTTTTATTTTCATACATTTCTGAGTTTTATGAGCAAAATGATGTTAGTTGGGCGAATTATAGAAATTCTATCCAATTTTTACTTTCAATTTAAACAGCGAGCCATACGAAGACAAAATTTAAATGAAATAAATTTCTTAATACTTAATAGGATTCAGAGACTTCTGTTTTAGATAAATTGTGAAGTTGATCTTTAATGTTCTTATCTTTAATTGTTTCGCATGGAACATCTTAAAGTTCAATTGCAAAAATGAATTGAAAAAAAATGAATAAATTTTATATTATATTATATTTTTATTTTTTCCCCTTAACCCTTCTTTCTGTAAATCCACATAATTGTTTTTCATTTGATATAATATCCAGCATTAATTTATAACTAACATCAGAATTAACAGAAAACAAAATTAACTACGGCTGTGATGTTAAATTTCTAACAAATCTGCAATTAATTACATAAATAACGCTATTTTGTAATTCTTTTCGTATCAAGCATATTATTAAATATTAAAACAAATAACACATTTTAAGTAAAACAATGATATTTATTGACATTTCTTAAGTTCCAGAATGAAGGTATGCAAAATAATTTTAAGCATCTTCACAAATACCAAAGAATTTTTTAGACAATTATTTGGAATGACCATTATGAAAACCATGAGCGATGTTTGCAGCCAAGAGCCAAAAGCATATCACTTAAATTAACAAATACAAAATTACACTTAAAAGGTCTTTTAAAGAATTTCACATAAATTATTAAAATAACTGATTTCATTCTTTTTTTCGTAAAATATTCAATACTTCTTACATTTATTAATATAAGATTAAATACTTAACTTGAAAATCAAACCTATAGGTATTATTAAAACCTGGGAAGAAATTTTGTAAATAATTTACTGAATCAAAATAAATATTGTTATATCAAACAAATATCGTAGCCATTGGGACAAAAATTATAGAATTAGGAATAATTTTTTTTTAAAATAAAAATTACAAAAATGACTATTTTCCACCTTCGCTTTACAACTAATAATTGTAAAATTGCTGTATGCTTCGACTTTTCATAATTTTAATTTTGCATAAAATCTATTTAATCCAAAATTATTCAACAAATGAGTACATTTAATTCTGTAAACTTAAAAAGGGGGGAAAACACATGCCATACAATACGTAATAAACTTTTATGAATCCATGGTTAAAATGTTACAATGAAATTTTAAAAGCAAAATTTGCATATAATTAACTGAAACAGAAAAAAATAATTAAAGACAATTAAAAGCACCCCAAAATAAATTGAAAACATTGAAATACATTATAATTATCTGACAACAACTTTAAAAAATAATTACCATGAAAACTTTTAGACAATTATTTGGAATGACTATTATGAAAAACAAGAGCAAAGTTTGCACCCAATAGCCAAAACTATTTCACTTACAGCATTGCATTAAAAAGTCTTTTAAAGAATTTCACATAACTAGAACAAAGTACCTCTGACTAAAACAGCAAAGAACCTTTTCGAACAACGCTGTAAAAGATTGATAATATGGCCGACGGCATGCTGGGTGTTATTTCGCACATGCGCAGTGAGGTACGGAGGGTGGATAGATTGCCCCTTTAAAATAAGCTTCAGGGATATACATAATGTGTCTCTTCGGTCTGACGGAGCCACATTTGCCTCGGGGAACCTTTACTTCTTCTTCTTAGATATTCTTTGCTGTGACTGCTTCGAACTTATTCTCCTGGAGTGTCCCCGTTGCTAGGGGTGGGTGGTCGTTGCTCTACCCTCGGCAGGACTGCTACCGCCGTCCAAGAGGGATTTTTTTTATGCGTTCATACTTATTTAAAGTAGCAACTTTCTTTACATTTGAAATATCATCTGCTAAATTCGAAGTGTTAACATAGTAATCAATGGTGATTATTACAGGTGCTTTTTCCTGTTTGCGAGATGCAAGGGTAATAAAGCCCTCCGAATCGGCATTCGCAGTCTTTTTCTTTCTACCAGAGGCAGTAATGGCTGCTTGATCTGAGGCAGAGGAAACTGATTCCTCAGCCTGCTTCTTCACGCTATACGTGCGCGAAACAGGTTTCAAGTTGCCTTTGCTGGCTTTGAGTTTCTCTTTACGGAGAAAAGCTCCTTTTTCAGCTGTCATTTTGGCCAGATTTTCATTCTAGATAATCTGCTTGAATTCTTCTAAGGTGGCAAGGAATTGGAAAGTTTGGACTTCCAGTTTGTTGGCGAGTTCAATAATACGATGAAAAAGTGTCTTACAGGCATTGTCCAGTTGCTGGTATCCGGTGGCATCCAAAGGTGATCCGTTTTTTTTTTTTTTTTTTTTTTTTTTTTTTTTTTTTAAGTACATCTTTTGTGATTGAATGGCTTCAAACTGAGCTGTCAGTCCGTAAAAATCGATAATCCATTTCGTGCGGTTGTCAGGGTCAATATCATCTGTGGAATTACTCTCAGACGTACACAGCTGCACAGTCGAAGTATCCAAGAGTGCGTTTTGAACATTTTGTTGCGGTAAATCGTGCGAATCTCCAATACTCCTTGATTGCAACTTTAAAATGTTTCTTCTTACAGGCAGAAAGACTTAGTGGATGCAAAATAAGGCATAAGTATACTTTGTCCATTAGCATCGTTCAGATATAAATAAATAGAACTATACTTTGCTTTTAATGCGTGTTTTTGATTCTCTTGTAATAATCTATCGAATTGTGTAAAATTTTGTTATATTTTTTAGCTTTCGAAATTTTTTGTTAACGATGACATCAACATTAATATCGAGAACAGTGTACAAACTTAGTTATTTATATACACCTTGTAGAAATTACGGTAAAAATATATTACGAAGGAAAGCAATCCGAGTTTTGAATGTGCCTGAAGATGGAGTTAGACCACTTCGTGATGATACATTTGATGAAAGTAACCAGCTCGCCAAAGTATCCCCAGAAATGCAACAAAATCATCTGACAACGGAAGTAACTAAAGAGAAGAAAATTATGGTTCCACCTTATGAAAAACTGCAGAAAAATGACGCTCGATTCACGTAAGTAATATTATGTGTAATATGTAGCACATTACGCAGTGCCATAACCATAACATAACGCAGTGCCATAACCAGAGCTTTTTCCGCGGAAGTGGACCTGAACGTATCGCTCTTCTAAGTACATATAAAAAATGCTACAATATATCAAATCGATGTGCAAGGAAGCAAAAAAAAAAAGAAAAGTGGCTAATATTGCATAAGCTAGGTAAATTGGCGCCAAACTATTTTGGCCTTCAAAATTTGGCAAGTTTTTAGGCGGCAATGAAAGCGCTAAGATTTGATTTTTAAACGTAAAACAGAATAGTAACTTTTAAGGGTTGATCTTTACATTATGGTAACTTGGCGTTTTTTTGGCGAAAATTTGGCGACCAACTCTCCTACAGCAACTCTCTATTTTTTTTCCGCCGCCATTTTGTCTTCACGAAGTAAAGACATGTTTCTTTTCTTTTTATCTACTGAACACTTCTTCCAACAATCTACTAGCCGAATTACACTTATGCTAGAAATTTTATCTAACAAAACTGCTTAATCATGACAAATATTCACTGCAAAATTGGGAAAAAGTGCACATACCATAATACTCCTCCTTACGCGTTTTTCAAAATAACACATACACATAAACCATGTACAAAACGCCGACTTATTTTTACTTAAAAAAAACATCCCAAATTGCACAAAAATGGCATTGCGCACACTCTTCACTATATCCATGTACACTGCTTTTTTCTCATAAATCAGAAAATTTCACGAAAATCATGACAATTTTCTCAATCTTTAAACCCGGTAAAAAGAACATATATGAAATTAACCTGATCGCGAAAAAAGTATTTACCCTTTCCAAATATGAACATTTCCACATATAAATAAATAAAATATCCAAAAACTTTTACCTCTAAATCATCTATTACATTATACACGTCACCAACGAATTCATACCGCAAGCATTACAAATACTTAGTATCAAATATTTAAATTATTTCCATGCACGTTTACTTCAACTTAAACGTATATCAAATTCCTACAAACATAAAAAAAATTCACAAATAACTATCATTTAATTAAAATATCACTAAAACCATGTACACACGCCGACTTATTTTTACTTAAAAAAAACATCCCAGAATTGCAACAAAAATGGCATTGCGCACACCCTTCACTATATCCATGTACACTGCTTTTTTCTCATAAATTTTAAAAAATTTTCACGAAATACATGACAATTTTCTCAATCTTTAAAAACCTGGTAAAAAGAACATATATGAAATTACCTGATCGCGAAAAAGTAATGAACATTTCCACATATAAATAAATAAATATCCAAAAACTTTTATCTCTAAATCATCTTTTACATTATACACGTCACCAACGAATTCATTACCGCAACCATTACAAATACTTATTGTCAGATATTTAAATTATTTTCCATGCACGTTTACTTCAACTAAAACGTATACCAAATTCCTACAACATAAAATTCACAAAATAACTATCATTTAATTAAAATATAATTAAATTCAAAACACTACTTAAAATATAAATAGCACATACATTAAATTAATACATACATAATACCCATTTCGAATTCACTTTAGGTTACAAAGCCTGGGATCCAAAAATTCACGAACACTGTTTCACACAACACAGAATAAAGCCAAATACAAAATTTCCAGATTTTTTCCCCGATTTCCCCCCCTTTCCGATTAAAGAACCGTAATTCGTCCATTAATATCACATGACATATCCCATGATCTCTCATTTCCCTCACCCAAAATAATGCGTAATCGGAACTGAGTACTCCTCACATTATTACCAAAGTGCCAGGTAGTAACCTTTATCGCCTCCAAAATGTCGCCAAACTACCAGTTACCATATTGTAAAGATCAACCAGTAAAACAAAGTCCAATAGCTTTGCAAGTAAAAACATAGTCCTATGTATGTAATTCATCATAAAATAGTAGAATGAATTCTTGTAAATAATTATTGAGTAAATAAATATATACACTTATCAGATCAGAGCACTGCAAAGTGACTTATAAACTGAACTCCAGGCGATTATTTGGCGACCAACTCTGCTACAACAACCCTCTATTTTTTTTTTTCGCCACCATTTTGTCTTCACGAAGTAAAGACATGTTTCTTTTCTTTTTATTTATTCAACACTTTTTCCAACAATCTACTAGCCGATTTACCACTTATGCTAGAAATTTTATGTAACAAAACTGCTTAATCATGACAAATGTTAACTGCAGAATTGGGAAAAAGTGCACAATCGCAAACTCCTTGCATGTTTTTCAGAATAGCACATACACGTAAACCATTTACACGTCAACTTCTTTTTTCTTAAAAAAACATCCCAGAACTGCACAAAAATGGCATTGCACACACTCTTAACTTTATCCATCTACACTGCTATTTTCTCATAAATTACAAAAATTTGCACGAAAATGCAGGAAAATTTTCTGAATCTTTAAACTCTGTAAAAAGCACATACAGTCAAAAGTCGTTAATTCGGACTCGTCGGGACTTCGGCGATTCCGGATTATCGATTTTTCCGGATTATAGATCATCAGTTTAAATCTCGTAAGATGGCATGCAGAAATTCTAAAATTAAAAATATGAAACCGTAATTTATGAAATAAAGAACAATTATGATCTAAAGGGTATCAAAATTGACAAAAGAAAAGCTTAATATTTATTTGTTTACTTTATTAAACATTTCTTTCAATGTAAGTTGTTTAAGTTTTGCTTCGTTTCATGTGATAATACTTTCTCTTTAATTCTATTAAACAGACATAATTTCTTGTTCAGTTACAAAGTTCCGCCGTTCAAGTCCTATAATTGCTGTTGTCAAGAACACGACTAATTTGTCAATCGAAATTTTTTTGTTTTCAATAACCTCTGTCACTTTTCTTCGCTATCGGAAGCGAATTATAATGACGAGGAACTTGTTTTAAATCATATCAAAGAGGAGCATTCGAGATGAAATACTACATTGGTAAGGAATTATAAGCCAAATAATAAAAACTCTGCGCTGAAGATAAGGATAGTGCTGACAAATCAACTCCCAATTCATTAGGCGCCCGCCGCCGAGCAGCGTGAAATTGATAAACAGATTTCGAATTTCAAAACTACTTTCGCTTTTAGATTCTTTACATATTAACAAATATCTATCGGAAATCTATTTGATATAATCGAAAGTTTAAGCTTACTTTTTATAAATTGCTCTTATAGTCTGCAAAAAATATAAGCCGGATTCAATTCGAAATTAAGGAACAACGCAATCATCAACATTAACTGAAATAGATAATTAGATATTTTAGCTTATACGTCCATTATACATAAAATGCGCACGCGAAACGTATTCTGCACTTGCGCACACTCATATGCGCAGTCATAAAAGGTCTTACGCGCAACGCGTGAAACGGCCTCTGCGCATGTGTCAACGTGGCGCATGCGCAGAAAGTTTTTAGTTTTGATGTCCGGATTATAGATCATTCCGAATTATGGGTGTCCGAATTAACGACTTTTGACTGTATATGAATTACCTGATCGTGAAAAGTATATACCCTTATCAAGGATGAACATTTCCACGTTAAAATAAAAAATATCCAAAAACTTTTACCTCTAAATTACTATTATATTAAAACATCACCAACGAATTTATACACAAACATATAATGTTACAAATACGTGTCAATATTTAAATATTTCCCTGCACGTTTACTTCAACTGAAACGTATACCAAATTCTACAAACATAAAATTCAAAAACTATCATTTAATTAAAATATCACTAAACATGTACACGTCGACTTATTTTTACAAAAATCCCAGAATTGCACAAAAATGGCATTGCCACACTCTTCATATATCCATGTACACTCCTTTTTTCATAAATTAGAAATTTCACGAAATGCATGAAAATTTTGTGAATCTTTGAAGTCGGTAAAAAGGACGTGTATGAAATTACCTGATCGCAAAAAAGTATGTATACTATGCAAGCTTTTATACCTTCAGCTTGCATATACCCTTTCCAAAATATCCAAAAACTTTTACCTCTAAATTATCTATTATAAACGTCACAACAAATTCATAACGCAAACATTAAAATGGTTGCAATACTTAGTGTCAAATACTTAATTATTGCCATGCACGTTTACTTCACTGAAACGTATACCAATTTCTACAAACATATAATTCACAAAAATATCATTTAATTAAAATTAATTAAATTAAAATACTACTTAAAATATAATAAGCACATACATTAAATTAACAAAAATTAGCGTACAATCGTATTACTTAAACTAAAAACATGCTAATACAGTTTTCCAATAATTACCATATTACTTACTCCTTACATTTTGAACAATGCTAAAATAATATCCTCATAATAAAAATACTAACTTACCTAATCTTTTCATCTGATATGTGGCGGATAACTTTTTCTAATCGATTCGATAAAATTCTTGAATGATTTTTTCTGCGAATTTTTCCTCCATACTTCCTTCGCTAAATAAAAAGCAAAATTCTCTTTATCATAATGCTTCGGAATGGCGCTTTTTATAGCACTCCACGTGCCCTCTATTGTATTCGTATGTGCGCCTGTTTCAGGATCTTTAAAATGATACTTATGGTTCACGGCAAGATGTTGAAAACCTTCATCCTCCAAACATTCATATGATTTACAGCAATCAGATATGATTTTTGTACCAGGTAGAATATACTGTTTAATAAAACTTAATAAGCAATCTTTACTTCTATCTCGCACAACCTTAAAAAAACACTTATTACTACCCCTTTCAATCCCACTAAATACCCATTTCGAATTCGCTTTAGATAGGGCCATGGGATCCAAAAATTAACTAACACTGTTTCACGCAACACAGAATGAAGCTAAATACAAAATACTATACTGCAGATATTTTTCCAGATTTTCCCCCTTTTCCGATTAAAGAACTGTAATTCGTCACATGACATGTAATCACATGACATATCTCATGATCTCTCATTTCCCTCACACAAAATAGTGCATAATCAGAACTGAGTACTTCTCACATTATTCCCAAAGTCCTAGGTAGTAACCTTTATTGCCTCCAAAATGTCGCCAAATTACCTGTTACCATATTCCAAAGATTAGCCAGCAAATGCAGCCTACATGGCAATTTATCCTATTATCGGCAAAAAATCGAAGCTCAGTCTAAAAATGAAGAAAATGCTTTACATATCTCTAATTTGACCGATCATGCTATATGCGTGCCGGCCTGGGCAATCGCCAATAAACTGAGCGCAAAAAATTGGATATACTTCAAAATAAAATTCTACGTGCATGTGAATGCACCTGGTACGTGAGAAACTCTATAATTCATAACGACCTGGATATTCCATCTGTGCATAACTTTATACTCATGACAGCTCATAACTTCTCGAGAAGATGAAGCATAGTCAGTTATAACGCAATTAAACAATGTTGGATTATGATCCAACCATTAATACACTGTCAAATGCCCAAGGACAATTCATCCACATTCGTCATGGTGGTAACTTGTAAATTTTAATTTTAAAAATTACTTGAACTCTGAAATTAGACCTATCATGTTATTTTGTGTTACATCTATACTTATGTTAATCAAGAAACTTTTTTATTCAAGATTTTTATGTTACTATTTCATTTTTAAAATTATTTTGTATGAATTTTACTTTTATCGTATGATTCTACAAACTTTCGAACTTTTTACGGCCTATCTAGCTGCTGCATACTTCTGAAGGACTTTGAACTCTTATGCCATTCACAGCTTCAAACTGTCTTCGCGCCATTTTCATGATGTCTCACTATTGCTTAATCTGCACTCTTACTAGCTATATTGCACTCACCACCTGCATTTGCCATACAACTCACTGAACCTTCAATTTAATGCCATTGCTTACCAGTGCACAATTTTTATGCTGAACGCCTACTTTCGTAAGTATTAAGATATGCCTGCTCACGCAGCTGAATTTTCTTCGCCCACGGGTGTTGGTACTTCCCTAGTACCATTTATTTGAAAATATCTTTGCTTAGTGCACTTTAATGCGATCTACTGGCAAAAACTCTTTAGTAGTTAATGACCAGAAAAAAGTAAGTCATAAGTCAATAAGTCAATTTTTTTTAAAAAATTCCTGTCATAATATGTTATACTCACAGACCTATGGAGAAATTTATAGCTATATATTCGGAACTGTATTCTAAAATAAACTGCTAAAGTTCAGAGGGGCTGTGTTTAGCATCTTTCTGCCATTTGTAGTAGCAGCAACAAAAATTAATTTTTGAAGTTTTATTTTAAATTTCAGTGAAGGATTCTTTTTTAATGTCATCAAGAACATTGTTTGATTGATATTCATACTTACATTCAAAAGATTCAATAAGGAAGGTATAGCAGAACTTAGACAGTATTGAAATCTAATGATTTCTTGGTTTGCCCATGAAAAATATTTTTCTCTTTAACTCAATTTTATATGACAGTTTAGCATATCTTGATTCTCAGCTGCCATCAGTGTGTTCTTCCTGCCTCACTGATCCATGTCTTTGTGGATCACCATAAATTTCTGCAAGTTTTCAAATCATTAATTTTTGAGTTACTAAATCCTATTAAAAAAATCAGTTTTTAAAGCCATGTGATTTATGTCATTGTATACTTAATCGGGTTTCTTTTTTATGGACTAAATCTTCTATAGCACCTGAATGTTTTATAGTATTTTTTCTTGAACACTCAACTGCATTCTCTCAATGTATTCTGTTACATGCTTGACATTTTGACTGTTAACTAAAATTTAAATATCTGAAGAACATATGTGAGGAAATATGCAGACAAATGCTCCTCGTGTAGAATGTTTGAATGATTTAATATAGATTATTACATACACTTAATAAGATAATCCAGATAATTTAAAAATTTTTTTTGAACACAGAAAATGATATTTATTCATGTACTTGATACTCTAGTATAATCATATAACTAACTTTATATTGGAAAATGTACATTTGATTAGCAATTCAATTACTAGTTTTGATAATGTCTCATTGATTTAAAATTAAGCAAAAAAATCAACCTTAGTTTGGCATAGATTTTGATTAAAACTCTATCGATATCAAAGGCTGTCTCTTCTTCAAGAGAAGGGGGAAATTTTTTTCCCTTCATGAAAAGAGATTTGTCTGTAACTGTCCTTGAAATTTATAGTTTTATGTAAAATCTGCATTTTGATGCAGATTTTAGAGTGCTAAGATTGGTCTCTTGTTTAATTTAAAAGTATACATTGGTGTGTTTCTCTTCCAATTTTCATGTCTCATTTGTTATTAAATTTGTGTGTTTAAATGCTAAACATTTTTTAACTAATCTTTTTTCAAAATCAGTTTAATATTTGTTATGTAAGAAAGATACCATTTGTAAATTTTTTTTTCAAATGCAGTTTTGTGAAGTGGTTAAAAAACAAACTTTGAACCTATATGATAAATACATATTTTCTTTTATTTATTTTTGCTAAAGCAGCAATTCTCAACCGGTGGTACACAAGAGAAAAATAGATGATACGCAAAGAAACAAAGTATTTTCAACTATTAAATTAAAAAATCTCGTGAAGAAAAAGAACACTTGGTAGTTATTTCCTAGATAACACACTTGTTAATATTTGGTTGAACCGAAATTCTTTTGAATAAGGCATTTCAAATAAATCTGTTAAATTTTTATTGCTTTTTTTTTTGCACAACCTGTTTGTGTGAACAAGGATTTTCTTCCATGCTATATTTTAAAAATAAATGCAGAATGAAAGTGAATTCTAATTTACGGTTGAAACTAAGTGAAGACCAGACACATAGAAATTGATCTCTCCTAAACAGGCCCAAATTTCAAACTAAATTTTAAAGTATTATAACTTAAATTTTGATAATTAAAATGGTAACCAATTTTTAATCTAATATTTTTTATGTGTGCATATTTAATACAAATAGCCAATAGGTTGTGCGAATGGCAAAATATGTTTTTTTGTAATATTTCTATAAAGAAATTGAAAAATAATCATTGAAAAAAGTAGTGGTGGTACTAAGGTTTTTCAGTTTTCTATTTAGATGGTACACATTAGTCTGAAGGTTGAGATCGCTCTGCTGAATTATTATTGCAGATATTTTCTGATTATCCTCATCACCTTCCTAACAAGTCAGCAACCACTGATGACTAATTTTTAAGCTAAGATGTGAAAGACAATCCTTTTAAAAAATGGCAGTGCACCAAGAATTAGTAAAACAGAAACTAATTAAAAATTAAGAAACATCCTAAAAATACCTACACTTTTTCACTGCTCTTTCCACATACAAGGCAATCAATCTGTTTTCGCTTCAAAAAACACCAGACAATTGCAGAAATTCAGCGATCTGCACAGCTTGGCATTGTGCACATTGTTGTTCTTCCCATTTTCCCGCATACACAGGGATCTGTTTCCTGGAAAAAAAAGAAAAATAAAGAGGGAAAAAAATCAGAATTGTGTAAACTCAGCATCAGCTCAATAATTTTAATCCATAAAATTTTAATCCATTTGATTGTGTATGAAGTACAGCTTCATGGCATGCAAGTTTTTGCATTCTGTACTGTCAGACAAAATGCCATATTTCTGAAGAATTGCCGTGCTTTCTCATCAGCTGCTAAACTCTACAGTCCCATTAACAATCCCAGGCAAGAAACAGTCTTACAGTCCCAGGCAAGAAAAGAAGTTACACTCCATGAAAATAAAAAAAAAAAAAATAAATTAAAAAAAAAAAAATTATCATTGAATTTGAAGGTGGAAAGATGGCTTTCAGTGAAAATCGGTACACGTGAATGCGTACATTAGTATCCACATAAATACATTTTGGTGATGTCATGAGTTTGCTGTTTTGATGACATAGCCTTATACAATGTAAATATATTTCTGGAGGCTGTAGTTAATCAGAAAATATTAAAATTTGTAATTCTTCCTGCAACCAATGAAATCTTTTATATTCTAAATTTTTATAAAGATATATGTATTTGTTATTAAAGCAATCTATAATTCTTTATAAAAGAAAATTAATCTTTTGATTTATAGGAAGACACTTGCCATGATAAAAAATAGGAAAAGGAGAGAAAAGAGTGGGCTAATCCTCTTAGAAGGAAAGCGTCTGATAAATGATGCCATTGGTGTTGGGCTGAAAATGAAGACACTTTATTTTAGCAGAGAGGAAGATCTGGCTGCTATTAAAATTAAAGATCCAGAAAATGTTGAATTGTGTAAAGTATTCTACAAAACATTATCATTATGGTCTGAATTAGAAACAAGCCCAGGAGTGATGGGTAAGAATAATTAATGATTGTTTTCTTGATGTCATTTTAATGTTAAATTCTTTAATTCTTTAAAGGGCACCAGCATATAAAATAATCTGGATGTTTGCCAATTTTTTAGCCTCCTAAAAAGTGCTAATTTGTCTACACTAAAAGCTGTAATCGTAAGTTTCTAGAGTTTCTTTTTTTATTCTAAATGGCAGCACTATTGTATAAATGCTCAATAGTTTGCAGTTATGAAATTAATAGACCTCATTCCAAGGTATCATGTTTGAAGATTCATAAATTCTATGAGAGGGGGAGAAAAAATTCCAAATCTGCAAATATATGACATACACATGCTAAATCTTATATATTTACTGCATTTCAGTCAGAACTGATAATTAAAAGAAGATTATTTATACAATTTTAAGACCGTTGTATAAAATATACTGGCACCCATATTGAGGCTACCAAACCAATAAATGGCAGCACCGGGTTTCTCCTTCCTTACTGTGTGGGATGATGGAATTTCCTGATATTATAATTGTTTACAATGTAATAATTAGTTCTTTATGATTAATTTATAAGTGTTCAATATTAATTACTATGTTCATGGAGATGAGTTTACTTGACCCTCTACTAAGAATGAATAAAAGTGTTTTAGGTTCTTTTTGCTTACTCTAGTCGAGTTTCTCATGTGTCTAAAATTTTAATTTCACCACTTTACCCTTTTCCTGGGAAAGAACTCATAAACTTCAAAATTATCATCTGGCGTCGAAACTTTACACAATTGTAAGGGTTAAATGTGGAATGTTAGCCCCAAAAGACATTCGTCACTTTGTGTTTCTAAAAACTGTAGAAGGAAACAAAAATAAAAAGAGGTGATTGATAGATAATTTGGTCATGCAATCTGCACAACGGGGCTGTGATAAGATGAGAGCCTGTTGGTAGCATCACAAAGTGCAATTTGACTATTAAAAAAAATCATTGTTTGTATCTGGTGGGATTGCTGTGTTATTATCCACAAAGTGTGTCTGGCAAAAGGTAAAACCTTCGACAGTAAGGTAAGTGTACAACGAGATGCTAGTTTGTGTTGATGCTACATCTTGCTGGTGCTGTCTTACATTCTGCACAGAACATCCAAAATGAAGTTGATCTTTTTATGGACTCACGGTCACCAAGTTTCTGGGGTGAAGGCGTTGAAAAACTAGCAAAATGTTGGCAGAAAATCATAAATTTGGATGGTGATTACTTGCACTAAAGATACCGTTTTCATGTTTTTTTTTTCTAACTTTGTTAAGAACACTTTTTGGCAGAAAACTTTCACTAAAACCAGATACAGTCAAAAGTCGTTATTTCGGACCCCCATAATCCGGAATGATCTGTAATCTGGACCTCAATGCTACAAACTTTCTGCGCATGCGTCATGTTGACGCATGCGCGTAAGACCTTTACGACTGCGCATATGCATGTGTGCATGCGCATAATACATTTACGCGTGCGCGTTTAATGTATAACGGATGGTATAAGCTAAAATTATCCATTTCAGTTCATGTTGCAGATTGCGTTGTTCCGTAATATTCGAATTGGATCCAGCTTATTATTTTTTGCAGACTGTTACAGCAATTTTATAAAAGTAAGCTTGAACTTTCGATTATGTCAAATAGAATTTCAGATATATATTTACTAATATGTAAAGGATCTACAAAGCGAAAATATGTTTCGATGTCCATCAAACAAAAAGTGGAATTGCTGCATAAAATGGATAAAGGTCATATCCTTTGTTTCTCTAACCATTCCGAAATCCGTTTATCAATTTCACGCTGCTCTGCGGGGGGAGGGGACGTCGCACCGCTCAATGAACTGGAAGTTGATCTGTCAGCACTATCCTTATCTTCAGGGCAGATGTTTTTATTTTATTCAGCTTATAATTCCTTACTAAATGTAGTATTTCATCTCAATGTATTCCGTCTTTGATATGATTTAAATCAAATTCCTTGTATTTACAAATATCATGAGTACACATCAAATAGTTTTCTGGTTGCAATTTTCTAATTTCGACTATGCGTAATGTATGCTTTACGCATGTGCGCGCTGAAAGAAATGTTTAATAAAGTAAACAAAAAATTTAAGCTTTTTTTTTTTTTTTATTTATTATTTATTTATTTATTTATTTTTTTGTAAATTTGATACCCCTTTAGATCATAATTGAATTGACTTATTCTATTTCCCATCGATAGCTATATATCATAATAAAATAACACCACACACATTACACAGTTTCAATACATTTATTTTCCATAGCGACTCTCTGGCGGTAGGTTTCACCTTACGGCGTAACATAAGAATCACAACTTCCAGTGTACCACAAAAATCAAGTTTCTCACAGAACACATTACAGTGCCAATTCCGGCGGCGCATGCGCCATTAGCCAAGATTCTGCTCTGGCGCCAAGCATTCCTTAGCTAATACAAAACACTCCCAACGTTGAAATTAATAATTTCAAAACTATTATTTCAATAAATGTAAATATAAAGGCACTACAATAAATAACAAACTTCACAATAACAAATCACAATATTGAAAAATATACATTCAAATTATTACAACAAATACCAGGTTATACAGTCAAAAGTCGTTAATTCGGACACCATTAATCCAGAATGATCTATAATCCGGACCTCAAAGCTACAATTTTCTGCGCATGCATCGCGTTGACGCATGCCCATAGGCATTTACGCATGCGCGTAAGACCTTTACGGCTGCGAATATGCTTGTGCGCATGTGCAAATACGTTTACGCATGCGCGTTTAATGTATAACAGACGGTATAAGCTAAGCTAAAATTATCTAATTCAGTTAATGTTGCAGATTGCGTTGTTCCTTAATCTTCGAATTGGATCTGCCTTATTATTTTTGACAATTTCATAAAAGTAAGCTTGAACTTTCGATTATGTCAAGTAGAATTTCCGATATATATTTACTAATATGTAAAGGATCACAAAGCGAAAGTATGTTTCGAAATCCGAAATCTGTTTATCAATTTCATGCTTCGGGGGGGGACGCAGTGATGCCGTGGCACGCAATGAATTGGAAGTTGATCTGTCAGCACTATCCTTATCTTCAGGGCAGATGTTTTTATTTTATTTGGCGTATAATTCATTACTAAATGTAGTATTTCATCTCAATGTACTCTGTCTTTGATATGATTTAAATCAAGTTCCTCGTCATTATAATTTGCTTCCGGTAGTGAAGAAAGTGACACACAGGTTATTGAAAACGAAAAAATTTCGATTGACAAATTAGTCGGTATTCTCGACGCAGCAATTATTGGACTTGAACAGCGGAACTTTGTAACTAAACAAGAAATTATGTCTGTTAAATAGAATTAAAGAGAAAGTATTATCACATGAAACGAAACAACTTACATTGAAAGAAATGTTTAATAAAGTAAAGAAATAAATATTAAGCTTTTACTTTTTGTAAATTTTGATACCCTTTAGATCATAATTGTTCTTTATTTCATAAATTATGGTTTCATGTTTTTAATTTTGTAATTTCTGCATGCCATCTTACCGGATTTAAACTGATGATCGATAATCCGGAATTGCCGAAGTCCCGACAAGTCCGAATTAACAACTTTTGACTGTAATAGAACTAAACCATCATTCTACAGGAAGTATACATATATCTCGAACATTTCTTTTCAGCAAATGCTGATTAAGCAATCTTACAGTTACTACTCTTATTTTGTTATCCCTACCATGAAAAACCTCGGCTATTCTCCTTGCTAACCATTTGGTTGAAGGCAAATTTTCATCTTTTATTAATACAAGAGTTCCCAACTGAACGTCATCCGTTAAAAATTTCCACTTGTGTCGTTCTTGTAAATTATTAAGATAATCATGTTTCCATAATTTCCAAATTTTTTCTGTATACTTAGTGATTCTTTGCCATTTAGAAAGTCGGTTTTCATTTATGTTGGATAAATCTGGCTCAGCTAGAGTTGTGATAGGTCTACCAACCAAAAAGTGACCTGGGGTCAAAGTTTCAAAATGATTGTAATCAGCTGAAATTGGAGTAAGAGGTCTTGAGTTCAATACTCCTTCAATTTCAGTTAAAACAGTTAAAAATTCTTCTAAAGTTAAACACTAATTACCAATAACTCTCTTCAAATGATTCTTAAATTATTTAACCCCGGCCTCCCAAATTCCACCAAAATTTGGCGACTTTGGAGGAATAAATTTCCACTCTATACCTTCAGTGGTATAAAAACTCGCTAAATTCTCATCTGGACACTCAACCAATTTTTGCAATTTTTTAAGTTCTACACAAGTACTTTTGAGGTTTACACACTGACCTTTTTTTAATTGATTTATTTCGTCTCTAAACTCACTTTTTTGGGCCTCTAATAAAATATACACCTCAGCATCCTTTATCTCTTCTAAAGTAAGTACTCTGTACCTCCTTGCCTGAGGGTTCTTAAGATTATGGATAAACCTGAAAATGAAACTTACAAGACGAATAAGTTTAGTATAATTAGAAGACAAATTAAGAATATCATTAAAGAGGTTTGGTTCATTACATGTAATTAAAACTAAGTTAGAATCGTTATGCAGTTCATTGTCCTTTTTAAGTTCATTTGGACATGCTTCTTCAACTACCTCAAATGATGAGTTCTGATGAGGAATCTCTGAGCATGTTAGAAAGTCATAGCATGACCACCATTTGGAACAGTTTACAAGAAAGTCAATTTGAACACCATGCGTCATAATGTCTGTTGGGTTCTCTTTTGTTGAACAATAGAACCACTTCTGTCCGCTGTGTTAACTTCCTAATCTCGTTAACTCTGTTGGTGATGAAAGATTTTCCATTTGGTACTGGTACCTTTAATCCAGCATAGCACTATTTTGGCATCAGTCCAATAAAATATTCTCAAGGATTTCTTTTGATCGAGCAATTATTTCACTCCAGAACCTAAATGCGCTGCTAGTAATGCACCAAGTAATTCAAGACGAGGTAACGTAATTCTTTTCACAGGTGCAACACGACATTTTGATGCGACGAAACTCACAGAAATTTCTTCTTGCTTACGCAGTTTTACGTAGACAACGCAGTTTTACATACATTTGTCCCTGTCCATAGACAATCGTTCAGTGATAGCTGCCTGAACTCATGTGAGCTGCCATCAAACACTATTCTAGTCTTCGTTGAAGCACTGGTTTCTCTAAATACCGTTTGGTGTGGTAGGTAAAATACTGGTTTACCGATAGGTATATTTCCATCTGACACTCTTTCAATGATACTTTGCTTGAGATAATCATGTAATATTTCACTATATGTAGAAAGCAGTGTTTTGTCATAATTCGCTTTGCAAGAGTTTTTAATCTATTTTCCGCTACTCAGTAATTACCAGCTAATTCCCTCCAGTCCCTTTTCCAAGGTAAAGTAACCTCGTAGCGACCAGCTTTAAAACAAACGGTCTTATTAATATTTCCAGTGCTTGTCTTCCCTCATGACAATAAGGATCATCTTTATTAATTCCTAATGATTCTAGTTCGAAAAATATTTTCAATTCACTCTCTGAATTATCATTTATTAAACCCACAATACGATAATTATTTCTTCTCCGTGAATCATTTATTTTCCACTAACTATATATCCAAACACACTATTTTGTAATATCAAGCCTGTGTTAATAACAGAGGTTTTACCAGCTCGTAACATATCATAAAAAACGTCCACGCCGAGCAACAGGTGTACTTTCTCTGGTATATAAAATTCCGGATCCGCTAAATTCACCTTCTCAGGAATCACAAGTGTACTAACATCGATAAACTTTGCGGGAGTTAAACCTGCTATTTTTGGAATTACCAAAACCTCTAGTTTCCTTTTATACGTTTGTTCCTGATTACAGATAAGGGCAACTGTTTTTCTTTTTTATCGTAGTTGAAATACCTGATATACTGCAAACCGAAATATTTGTCTTTTCCTTTTTTAAATTAAGTATATCCGCTAATTCAGGGGTACAAAAACAAGAAACACTTCCACTATCACATAACGCTTTCACCTTAATTAAAGTTCTATCATTAGTCTCAATGAATACAAAGGCAGTAGATAAAATCACGTTTTTCCCACTGTAAACTTTTCCACTGTTCCCATAGCGGCTGTAAAGGTTTTGTTTTGAGTTTTAGCTTGAAATGCAGGTGCGTGTACATTTAATTCATTGCTGTTTTGATCACCCAACTCCTGATCTGAAGTGTCTGCTCTTTCTACTGTGGTGCCAACGGAATTATTTTCATTTTGATAGCATAAAAGAAAGCTATGCTTTTTCTTACACTTCTTGCACAAGTAATTAGAACGGCAATTTCTGACACTGTGCAAATTAAAACAACAAAAACATAAATTCTGTTTTTTTCACAAATTCTACCCTTTCTTTTACACTTAATTTCTAAAATTTAGGACAGTTAAAAAGCTTGTGATTGCTCAAATTACATAACCTAACGATTCTGCATATGTTTTTTTCATTTGCATTAGAAAGGACAGCAGTAACTCTATGTGTAACTTTTTTTTGTGTTAGTCACACTCTTTGAAGCGTTGAGAGTTCTTGCATGATCTTTAAGAAATTCTATAAGATCTGTTAAATCAGGCAAATTCTCTTCTCTAATTTTTCTTTCCCACCATATTTTGGTGTTAGGATCTAATTTTTGCCCTAAAATGTATGCAAATACATTGGAAGAAAAAACGTTAACACTCTGATTTAAACTTCTAATGATCTCACGCATTCATTTGCAAAGTCAAGTAATTTTAATATTGCTGACGCAGACTCATTTTGCATAGGATGCATATTCATAAATCGTCTCAGATGAGCATACACTTGTTCACGGTGATTAGAGAACCTTTCTTCTAGTAATGAAAAGGCTAATTTATAATTAAAGTCAACTATGGATATTGACTGCACAATATGATAAGCATCTCCTCTTAGTGCAGATTTTAAGTACTGTAATTTGACTGCATCTGTTAAATTAGGATTTGAATCAACACTGGCTAAAAAGATATCTTTAAATGAAAGCCACTCATGTAAATTGCCTGAAAACATTGGCAAATTAATTTTGGGTAATTTAACATTGTTCTCAGTATTCGAAGCAAACCGAAGGCTCTGATTTAATATCTTTGGAAAGTTTAGCTAATTTACAATTTAATTCGACTTCTACATATAAGAGAATATCGTCAATCTCTTCTTTCTCTTTTACATAAGCATCAATACGTTCTTCCGTACATAACCCAAACAAAGAATCGAAATTAGAATTTATTTCTGTCTCAAAGCACTTTAAATTTATTCTTTAGTACTTCCAAAAATGTCACTTCCTTGGACATTTTCGTCCGCAATTTTTTTGTTTTAACTTTATTAACTGTGTTTTCTATAATGTACGTTTTTTCGCTAATATCTTCCTTTAGTGACAATTTTAATTAGCAAAAGTCAATAAACAAATGAAGAGCTTCAAAAAGGTACAACGAGCTTCAAAAGGAAGGAGGGTACTTACCCTTTTGTTTCTACAGAACTTCAATCTGGGAGTATCCTATGTAATTCTTTATTTCACAAAACCGAAAGTAAATTCCCAGTCTCATAAACTTCATTAGCTGTTCCGCCTGTGATCGGCCACAAAACTTGAATTGACTTATTCTATTTCCCGTCGATAGCTATATATCATAATAAACTAACACCACACACATTACACGGTTTCAATACATTTATTTTCCATAGCGACTCTCTGGCGCTAGGTTTCACCTTACAGCGTAACATATGAATTGCAACTTCTAATGTACCACAAAAATCAAGTTTCTCACAGAACACATTTCAGTGCCAATTCTGGCGGTGCATGCGCCCATTAGCCAAGATTCCGCTCTGGCACCAAGCATTTCTCAGCTAATACAAAACAATAATGGCTCTTTATTTCATAAATTACGGTTTCATATTTTTAATTTTATAATTTCTGCATGCCATCTTACCAGATTTAAACTGATAATCTATAATCCGGAAAAATCGATAATCCGGAATCGCCAAAATCCCAACGAGTCCGGATTAAAGACTTTTGACTATTACCAAAAAATGCTTGCTGAAGGCATTTGAATGAAGTTTCTTAATTTTATGGCAAATGAAAGTATTTAAATTAGTAATATAAGAATTGATATAGGAATAAAATAAATATAAAATGATATAGACATGAACTACATTCCAAAATTAATTTTGAGTGGAAGAAACCTATTTTTTCCAGCCAGTTGCTTCCACTGTGGGAAAAACTTGCCTTTCCTAGACACAAATTCTTTCTTTCCCCTTTATAGAGGAATGACAGAACAAGGCAGAAAATCTTCCCTGCTTGATAACTGCTAATGAACAACTCATTTATGAAAATTTTTGTTCCCAGTAGTCACACAGTCATAGGAAAAATAAGTGTAGATGGCATTCTAGGACAAGACCTCTTATCTATCTAAAAGGTAGAGCCCTCGGTTTCATTATTTGTAATTGCTAGCAGTAACATTTGAGAGAGAAATCATGTTGTTGGCTTCTGAAAATATTATTATAAATTTTCATTTTTGATGTAAATATTAATTGAAATGCCTGTAAGGATTAATTTTGAATGTATAGTGTACGATTGTAACTGAGCAGTTGGACATCTCAAAGCGGGCAAAGTGTCATTCAAGTTGCCACAATAGTAGTATGTGAAAGTGTTATTTCATGTTTTGGGAAGGTTAACAAAGGAGGAAGTGCTATGCAAAAGCATGCTGAAAGTCATAGGAAGACCACCACACCTCAAGAGGATAAATATTTTACTCTAGTGGTGAAAAAGATAAAAGTACTTGTAGCTAAATACTCGGACCTTACAAATGCTACTGGCACTTGCCTATCTGTGAGAACCATTTCTTGTCAATTAAATAATGTTGACTTATATGAACATAAGCCTGTTTGTTACATGTATTCTTAATGAGTGCACCATCATCAGCGGAAAAGATTACATTGGAGTAAGGAGCATGTTTGTAGGATCAGCAACAATATTACAGAGACATGTTCTCTGATGAATCTCGCTTCTCTATCAACAGTGATTTTGAACACCTGCTAGTGTTCAGAGCGAGGAAAGCTCATTATCATCACCAGAATGTCGGTAATTAAGGCAAAAATTAAAACACTTTGAATGGCAAATTGTTACTCATTCACCATATTTTTCTGAATATTTTTTTTTAAATCCTTCAAAAGCATTTTAATGGAAGACTTTTGACTTCGGATGAGATGTCCAAAGAGAACACAACTCATCTTTGGATTAAAACACAAGAACTTCTGTCATGACTGTACTGAAAATATGAAAGATGGTAACAGATCACAAATAATAGTAAAAAAATATATATATATATATATATATATATATATATGTCTGATCAAAATTGAAACTTTTATATGAGTTATTTTAAAATTTATTTAATAAAATCACATATGGGATCACCTAATTGTATATTTTTTGTTTCATTTTTTATTGTAAATAATTTTTATTAGTTCTTTCATATGAACCATTCCTTTTAAATACATTCACTTTAATTCATTTAGAAACTGGACCTAACCTTATGTAAACATACTAATAAAAAATAATATTTTGGGCTGTGTGTAATGTGAAATTTAAAAGGTCTTTCCAATTCAATATAATAATTTCCAATCAATTTGATAAATTTATATTAGTGTGACTGTTCAGTATCTCACTTTTTCATATTATTTAAATTATATTGAATAAATTATTTCATAACTGTGTAAAATCTTTAGGTATATTTAGAAGGCCATCTGCAGATGACTTGAATGTCCTATCAGATCCTGCTATTCCAGTAACTGTTGTATGTGATAATATTAGAGATCCTGGGAATTTAGGAGCTGTGATAAGAAATGCTGCAGCTGCAGGGTGCGAAAATATTTTGATGCTAAAAGGTAATTATAATCATGAAATAATAAGCTAAAATAGCTAATTTAGTTGTATTTAATATTATCAGTATTACATAAGGGTACTTCTTTGTTATAAGAGTTGCTGCACAAGCCGTTGGTGACATTTAATACTTTTGTGTTACAGACTGGGCAATCAGGTTTGCCAACACTAGAAACAAACTACAGCGGCTGCTTTAACAAAGAAGTACCTATATGAAGTCATTCTAATTAGTTATTAGTTTACCAAAGAAATTCTGATTGTAATACTTAAGAGTATTGTATTGAAAGAAGTGAATGAATGCAAATTGAACCTTAGTTGATTTTTTAGCTTACTCACTAAAATGATCTGCAGTATTTACACCCACGTGGGATTGTGATAAATTGTGAAAAATTTTTATTCTTAAGATACCTCTAATGTAAACAGATAAAACATGCGAAATATATGTATCTATTTAAAAAATTTCATCTTTAATGATTGTTCTAGTTTATTTGCTGTACTTGCAACATATATGGAATACTCATCAAATATATATTTTGCACATGTAAAGCATCAATTCAGAAGCAGATCCATTAAACATAGATTAACTGTTTTCTTCCCAGTACTGGTGAACAATTAACTTATGAAGGCACTAAACAATCATGCATTTACAAATATTCTAAATACACACATAAATAGTAAACTGATAAAGAAACTTGTTGAGCATACATAAGATTTATATTTTAATTTAAACATATTATTTGTACTAAGGATCTGAACCAGGAGAAAGTAATATACTTACAGATGTCTTTAAGGCTTTTTTCATGGAAATGATAATTCTAAATTTTTTCATTGTTCCAGATTTTGCTCCAGTTTTGAATGGTTGTTGGATTATATATTTACATAAAACTGGGAGATGTATATTTATTTATAAGAGCTGGACTACCTGTAAGAGGTAGAGACCATAATGTAAATTTGGGAGAGCAGAGCATTTGCTGCACTCAATTGAAGGTATTAATGAAATACCATCATTTCTCATTGATGTAGATTAGATCTGTCCATTGGGCACTAAATAACTGTCTAATATCATTTTTCAGTTGATCACCATTTAAGGGGAATATAAAGTCTTACTTTGTTGCATTCATGTTAAACAATCTGGCACATTAACTGATTCATACATCGGTTGATCTTCATTCATCTTACAAAAAATAAACTCAGACGTTCCGGCTAAACTATACATAAAATTTTTTTTTCACTTTTTCCTCTGTCTTTATCACATTATCAGTATTGTTAGCTCATTTGCCCGTCTTAATCACTTTTAGTCTCCATCCACTTTTTACTCTGAAAATTTGTTTATGCTTTTAGTTTTTTTCATCATGTTAAAAACAAACTATTCATTTATTCATGCATAAACATTTCCCATTCTCACATCTTTTTCCTCTTTTTCACTATTTATCCCTTTTGTTTTAGTATTCAATCAAAATTGACATTCGACGCAATCACGCCTCATGGTATCTCACAGTTGTAAAGAAGGATTCATACTACTTGCATTTCCCCATCTTTCAGGAAAGGTGATGAGAAACCACAGGGAAAAGTGATGCGCAACTATGAGTACCATCTCATCACATGAAAGAGACTAATTTTACTAGTAAGGTAATTTATGAAACAAATCCTAAAAAATAATAGGCCACATAGATAGGTTGTTTATTATTGTGTTTCTAAGTCCGAGGGCAGTTTTCCGAAAAAAAAAAAAAAAAAAAAAGACTGAAACCAGTTAAAACTGAAGACTTTTTCCCAGACACATGTTTTCATGAAAACCTAAGAGCTTTACACCTATTTTATTCAGTTTCCTTATTTCAGAAACACTGGCTGATTCGTATTGTATCCAAATTTGTACACAAAGAAGTGTTCTTTTTTTAAAAACAGTGCTCATTCATTTGCACTAAGTGTGGAAGTCATTAGAACCCTAAGTAAACAAATTCATGTTTTATACTGCGAGGGAATGAAAGGAGAAGTATCTTTCAAGGATGCTTTGACCAGAATCTCATTTAAATCTCTTTTTCGGGGCTCATAAATGTATCCTTTACCAAACACCAAAATTACTTCTCTTTCCTTTAAGTAAACTGAAAACAGAATGATTATGCTATAAGAACTATTTTACTTTCCATACATTCAGATTACTACATGACAATACCGTATTTAAAATAATTTTGGGTATATGTAACATTTTGAAAAGCAGTTTCCACTTGCTATTGTTAAAACATTATTTTATGTCAAATGAATAACAGCAGAGGAAGTTTATTATGTTAATTTTTGTTGATTTCTTGCTTGGGTTAGGTACGCATATATTTATTTCAAAGAGATTAAAATAAACATTTTTATCTCTATGAATTAGTAACAAACATTTTTACCTCTATGAATTAGTTTAGTAACATTACAGATATTTAATATTTCCAATTATAATATCTTTTTTATCTGCATTTTTCATTTTCTATTTGCATTTCCCCATCTTTCAAAGATCTGTTTCTATGATTGCAGTATCTAAAATAGCAGGAATCTGCTGTAAAAAGAGATCATCTGAAATTTTTACTGCGATTTTCAGTGTGAATTAGCTAATATTTGAGTTTCTGAGCAAGAAGTGAAATATAAGCATTTCAAAATTATATCATTTTTTTCTAGGTTTTTTTTTTTTTTTTTTTTTTTTTTTTGAAAACATTGTAATATTGATAAATCTCATTAAAATAATCGTAATGTATTTAAATAACATTGAAATAAAACATTTTTATTTTTTGCTGTCACATTAAAGTTCCATTTTGGCCACTTACTGTACTATATTTTGAATCTGAAAAATAAACAAGGTATAATGCTATAAACCACAATTTACGAAACAGTTCTTAGCAAAACCAAAATAGCTATGTAATTAATTAAAAATATCTTCTTTTAAATTCTTTCATGGTAAGAGTTTTTCCCATGTTATTGCCTCAGAATATGCATCAGTTTTCTCTATAAAGTTAATTTTACAATTTTTCGCCCCCTCTGATTTTTTTTTCTGAAATATTTCTGGCTTTTTGCTGTTATAAAACTCATAGGGGTAATTTTTATTAAGGATTTTAAACATTGCAGCTTGGAAAGTTTAGAAGGATTTGAAGGCAAGATTTATAGACCCACAATTCTAGAAGATTCCAGAAAAATGTGACAAAATAAAAAATGCCTACATGGTATTAACAAGAAATGGATGTATTTTACAGAAAGTTTTCAATAAATTTCTTACTTTTTGGAGAACATCTGGAAGAATAATGAAAATATGATATTTGAATTTTTTACTTCTGATATTAGAATCTTTTTCTTAATATGTTTATCTTCCCTTTATTTTCCCTACTTTTCACTAGACACAAGCATGGAAAATATCAAAAATGCTTCTATCTTATCACATGTACATTAGAATTAGAAATTGAAAACTGACAATTTAAAAAATTCATGTATTATATCTTAATGCATCATACACAGGGTTGGCCATCAGCATTGAAAACCCTAGCTATGGCTCTGTGCATCATACACAGGGCTGGTACTACACATTTTTCCACCTGATGCAATCTCTGTGGATCCTAAATTCTGCTGCCTATTGTTTTTCTAAATTCTACTTCCAGTCCCTGCTCTACATTCTAAAAGTTTTGTCATTCCTAGATTTTGTTGCTCATTGTGTCGCTAAAATTCTAAAAATTCTGCCACACCAGCTCTGTAACCTGTTCTTATTATATATATATTTCATATTTCTTCTAAATGTTCATATGACTAAAGAAATAAAATTAACAGTTTTTTCTATACATTCTAAATGCAGTTAGTTTTTTTTTTTTTTTTTTTTTTTTTTTTTTAGGATAATTGAAATCTTTAAATCTAAAAATTCTAAAATGAAAAGGAAACATGTCAGAAGAAAGAAACTGAATACATAAAGAGGAAGAAAATTGTTCTTCAAAGATATGTCGTTATTATTATGTAAATTACCCAATTGTTTATAATTTCAGCCTTTACTATCATTTCTCATTTCTATTTTCTCACCAAAATGCGAACCTCTTAGATAGTTTTTAAACTGAAGTTTTTGGAATGTAAGACAGAGTGTGCTTCCGAGCTTTGCTTGCTCAATGCGTTAGTTCTTGCCAGGTCTGATCATTTGTAATTATTCATCTTTGCATTATCACTGCCAACATTTGAATTTATTATGATGATAGAATTACTGAGCCAGCTTAAATTAAAATTAAATTGTATAGTCTTTGACCGCTAGTCCACATTTTTAGTTTAATTGATTTTGTTAGTATAAGAAGATGCATTTATGTTCAAAGTTCTTTTTAAATAAAAGGCTACTTTGTAGTTACTTTCAGACCTAGCAATAATTTGCTTCATGTCTGTGTGGGGATTTTGTATTGTTTAACTTTTACCAGATCAAATAAACCCTCATAGGTACGTTGTGGAGAGGTTGACAAGTTAGGAGATAAAGCACACAGAAACTACTCAGAACACTGGTTTATGTATTAAGACACATTTCTAATTGTTAATAAAGATGCTTAAAGAGAAGGAAATTGATATAAATTAGCCAAAATGTCCGGAAAGGCTTCAAATTAAAATGACACATAGATATTTTGTTGAGGGTTGGTGCTACAAAGCATGAATATTTTGTAGGTTTTAACTTATAATTATCCTAATATCCTTTAAGAATCAATGTCATAAATAACATGTATTTTAAACTGTGAAATTGTATTAGATTGTGATTTTAGTAGGTCTTTTTTGACAAATATTGTTAAAAAATAAGTAAAATTTAATGGTGGCCATGTAAATCCATAATGACTAACATTATCTAATTAGCTAATTTAATTAAATTATTTATAACTAGCTTTTTACCCTTAAAAATTATCTATGCATATTAAAGGGAGTTATTGCCTGTCATTTATCCTTACTGTGGTCACAAGACAAAACACAAAAATGTAAAATTCATGTAAAACTTATTCTTCACATCTAGTGAGACTTGAAATAATACAAAGCAACTTATCACTCTGGTCCTTTAGTGGTTTATTGGAACTTTATTATTAATATATTAACTGGTATATTAACTGGGTTTCAACCCCTGGAACTCTACACGAAGCTACAACACTAACTGCGTCAGACAGAGCCCAACTAACTTTCAATATTGCCAACCATGCCTAGATCAGTCCTTTCAGGTTTGTTCTGATCAGTAGGTCTCTCTCTAGTCAAGCAGCAGTGTTGGCAACAGCCAGTCTTTTGGTATGAATCATGCTGATTAAGATTTTACTTCTCATTTTAATCTATGCTGCTTGGCATAAAATCTACCTGCTATTTAAACCTCTAGACTGAGCAAGTGTGTGATAAAATGAGATATAAAAAAAAAAATCAACATTAAGCTAATTGTTAGTGAAACATAAATAAAATGTCACTTATCTTCTTTCAAATATGTGCAACTATTATAAGTGTAAAATATTTAACGCTACTTGATAAATTTCATAAAGTTTATTTTATTCTCAAACTTATTAATAAATATGTTAATTATGTTTAATAATAATGCATCCTACTTACGAATCTATTTTATTTTTTAGAATGGTATTACAAAAGTGAAGCTCAGGCATAGATAATAGATTTTAATTGAATTTATTCAGTTCCCATTTGCTTATATGCCCTTATTTTTTTTTAATTAATGGTCACACTTAAGTACTTAAAGTACTTAATTTCCATGTACAGAAATGTGTATGAACTCTGTTTATGCATAATCATAGTAATATAAAAATATTCAGTAATATTCTAATTTTATATTAGAAGTAATAAAACAATGGAAGCTTGCCCTTGTGATCTATTTAGATTTCCAAAATACAGAAAATAAAATTCAAATTAGTTGTTTTTATCACACTATAGATGAAATATTGAAAACCCAAATTTGAACTGCACATGATAGTTGTATGTATTTTTTTTCTTCCAAGATCAGCATTTCATGAAATTTAGTACCACTTGTCAGACCTGTGGATTTCCAGTGGAAAGTGATAGTCTTACCAACAAAAGAAGGATTTAAAACACTGGTAGTAGTGGTTCTTGCTATCAATTTCCTTTACATCTGGTGATGCTGAGCTCATTACCAGTGAAAATGAAATATACAGTTGTGCTTTAAAAATTACAATTCATTTTGCTTCTAAGTATCTATGTAAGAAAGGGTTTAAAAAACTAAGCACCGAAATTGGCTTGATGTTGTGTTGATCTCAGACCTATTGCTGGTATACGTCTAAACATAGAACAGCTGTGCAAGAATAGGTATGCTTATTCATCTCATTAATATGTGTATCAGAATTTACTGAATTTTCAATTAATAAGACAAAGATTATCTAAACTCTAAGAGTTTTGAACTATTTAAAACAAATATTAATTTTTTTTTGTCTCAACTTAATTACCGTATTTGACGGCATATAAGACGCACCCTTATTTAGAAGGGCACACACAAGGAAAAAAAAGTTTCAATAGTCTGCGCGACAGTGCGGTACCACAATAACTTAAAATGTGGTTTCTTTTTAGTTCTCACGTCTCGTAAAAGCCAAGTAAACAATTATTGAATGCAATTACCAAACATAATTTTATTAAGGAAAATTAACAAACGGCAAGCTATTTTGAACATGATATGTAAATTTCAATAATGAATAAACAGCAAGCAATCAAACATAATACAAAATAAAGCAGAAACAACAAAAAACACAGATTCAAGGAAAACTTTGCCTATCATGAAATTATATTTTAATCACTTTCAAAACCATAAAAATCCTTCATCGAAAACGAAAATATCATCATCACTACTGTTTCTGTCATATTACCTTCTTTGAATAATGCGTCGTCTTCTGTTCCATCAAGAGTATTGCTGATTTCGCACTTCTTAAAGGACTTAACAATTACTTCAGCCTTTACGTCCTCCCAAGATCTTTTTACCTTGCTGCTGCTCTGTTTTTATTCACTTTGGCATAGTTTAACACTCCTAGTTTATACTGAATTGTATAGCTTAATCTCTTGTTTCCTGTAGTCATATTTTCCAGGGTATTTTTTTTAAAACAAATAGTTTTAAGCACCGATACGAACACGTTTATACAGAGTAGCACTGATACCGACACGTGTGTCGGCTGAGTCAAAGGAAGTCTGTATAAAGAAGGAACTCCATAGACGTAATATGACTGTCGAACCTGTTCGAACTTCGACATCAGCTTCGAGCTTTGGCGACAGATATTTCACGCATGCGCAAAATAATTATGGCAGATGTAGAAAAAATTATGTGTGTCTAGACATTTATCCGGGCTAAAAATACCATTCAGTATTGAAAGTTAACCTGCGTCCTTCACGTATAAGATGCAGGTAACTTTTTTGAGGCCAAATTTAGGAAAAAAAGTGTGTCTTATATGCCGTCAAATACGGTATTTAATATTGTAAAAATTAAATGAATTTTAATCAAGTGTATTTTAAAAATACAAATATACTAGTGGTAAAATACGCTAAAAATTAGATTCAGAAGTGGGCAAGAGTAAGATGGTCTGCAAAACATTCTAATTTGTAAAAATGGTTCTCTTTTTGAAAAAGTTTGACAAACAGTAGTCTGAATGATAGCGCAATTTCAGCAGTTAAAGGTTAATTAGTGAATAAAATTTAGTATGACATGTTGCTAATTTTTATATTGATTAAATTAACCATAGTATTTAATTATAATTTTTTGGATATGAATTTGATATATGCTTAAGTAATTTTATTTTGATTTAGCAATTTATTTTCTTAGCATCCTTTTTTATATGTATCTGTGGCTCATAAATAACTCATGCTCACACATAAATCTAATTTAGTGTTTCAGTGAATTTTTTAGTTTAAACTCCAACTGTTTATACACATGTGTAACATTTAGTTAGTCATACATTTTATTTTTACAAAGTCTCACCATTTGTGAAGTGGCTACTAAATACTGATATTAAATATCGAGCTAGCATGGCTTGAAATCCCTGCAAATAGGTTGGATGCATGTGATTTTCTTGATTTATCCCATGCATAACATAAAAATGAGCTAGTTTCCCTTCAGTACTTCCCAGTAAAAGCATCTCTTTCCTTATGCAGATAGTCTTTGCATGCTTTGTCTTAATAAATTAATTAAACAACAGCTTTTAATTTTACATGTTTTGATAATACATACATATATATGTAAGAAATAAATACACAGTTACAGAATATGCTATATAATAGAGCAGTAATTGAAATCATTATTTATGAAAAAAAAAGTGTAATATTTTAGATAATTCATCATTCAGTATAAAGAATGGTGAAACTGCTGAACATCTAATTGGCTGGAATATGAAATCTATACTGCTATTTGTTGGCAGATATAACTTGAAAAAAAATTTTTAGTGGAAAAAGAATGTCATTGTGTTTGGTTTCTCCTCTTTCATATACATATATTTCTTAATTTTCTTCTGTCTCTTTTTTAGGTTGTGTTGATCCTTGGGAGATTAAAGTACTCAGAGCGGGATGTGGCGGACACTTTCGTATACCATTTGTGTATGATATAGAATGGAGTCATATTTATAATTATATACCAAAAGATTCAAAAATATTTATTGCTGATAATTCAGTGGATATAGATATTGGTAGTAGTACATCAGAGTTCATAAGTTTTGAGGAAACTGATGAAAATAGTGAAGATATACGATATGTTACTTTTAACGAACACAATCAGCCACTCATTGTTGATGAGTCATACAACGAGCCATCTGAATTAGAAAAGTTTGAAGATGTAAATCTTCCTTGTCATTTGTATACTAGCATAAAATATCCAACAAAAAACATTATTTTGTATGTTGGAGGTGAAACACATGGTGTCGATCCAAGAATAGTTAAACTGGCATGTGATTTTGGAGGAAGAAAAGTCAAAATTCCTCTAGAGAATGAAATGGACAGTTTAAATTCTTCTTTTGCAATGACTATTGTATTATATGAGATTAAACGACAAATGAAAGAACAATATATTTTAGAGCAATAAAGAATTTTACTAAACTTTGGGATGCATTCAATCACAAAAGATATTTGTTTCATTCATCTAAAAAGTATGAAAAGTCAGTTTTAACAGCCTTGAATTTGAATAATTCCCCACTTTACATACTTTTTTCAGTGTTAAGCAATTTAAGAGTGTGTGTTAATTTTTTAAAATATGCATGCATTTAATTCATATGTATATGAAGAAACTGCTTACAGTTGTTAAATATATTTATACATTCTTAGGCCCATTTTATGTTAAATAACAGCCTCATTTATAAAAATGTTATGAAAGATATCAAGAATCCTCCATTTACATCAGAATCTATTTACAATAGGACCACTCGAACGGTACTTGTCATAAGTTGAGGACTACCTGCATGTGTGTTAAATGTTAATCTTGGACATGTAGGACTTTTAGTTACAAAATTCTCAAACTATAACAAAACATTTTATAAAATTAGTTTCAATTCTGTGGATGGGATTCGGTGAATATGAATTTTATATGCAACCAAAAATGAAATAAATGAATTCTATAATTGTTAAGTAATTTGTAGGTATACACATAATTAGTATTTTCATGGAGCCAGGATACAATCAGAAAAGAGTGTTGTTTTAGCTAGCATAGAATCATTTATCTCAGAGCAAGCAACTTCTGTGCTGTACTTGTTCATTAAATTTTGTCTTAAACTCATGAAATTTGTTGGTAATAAACATTGAAAAGCGATCATGGTTAATTTGTTCTTGAATATTTCACCAGTTGTAGGCACAGACTTTTGATATGGAATTTTTTATGTTTAACATACTAGATTTAATCCTAACTATGTCTGCCAATTTGCACACTAAAGTATGAAAAATTTCCATATTTAACCATATTAAAATTTAATGGTTATTTCAAAGCATATAAAAGGTTGATTTTCATTTACAGAATTTATATAATAAATCATAATAGAATAATTATAATTTTATATTTATAAAATCCTTTCACAAGCAATGTTAGTACTGTTATAAAATTTCTGTGCCTTACTTTCAGAAATTCTCTAACTAGAAGTTTATGTTTAGGATCGGCATTTAGGAATATATCAGAATTTATCTGCAATATTTTCCCTTTTTTTTTTTTTTTCATGATCATAGTTCTACTAAATATATAGTTCTACATAGTACTACTAAATGGCTGGTTTTGCAGTTTACGCTCATTAAACCACTAGACAAAGAACTTCTTAATATCAGAAATCTTTCCATTTTGAACTTGAAACATTTCAGATGTTAATGAGTCATTTAATTAAAAATTATCAGTATGCTGTGTTTGTAAATAAGCATCAATATAGATAGTATCTAGTTTGTGTCTAGATCCGTTTTTCTATCCTTTTCAAATCAGAGTTGTTACCATCTTTTCTTTTTATGTTTAGGATTTATGATTAAGTATTGTAATCATGAAAAATTCTGGGTTTCTTATTTCAATGAAAATATCTACTTTGACCACTATTGAATGCAATTTAATGATGTTTTTGCATGACATCTGTATGTAAGAACAGAATAATACACTCTTTTTCCCCAAACAAATTATAAAACTGATTTCAAATGGATTCAAAAAAGATTTTTTTTTGGTGTCGTCTATATGTATGTATGTATCTTACATAACTTGGAAAGGAGTAGCCTCAGAACGTTGAAATTTTGTATAAAGGACTGCTATAACATATAGTTGTACACCTCTCTTTTTGGTTGCAATCAGTTATACCAAAGGTATATAAATATTTATATATATACCTACTCTGTTACTTGGCTCAGTTTTTTATTCTTATTAGTTGGTAAATTGTGCATTTTTTGCTTTAAAAATTATTGAATTATGTTGTTCTTATCTTCTGGTTAAGGATTTTATGTATTTAGTTAATCTGCATGCAATGCTTGTAGAATTATCAAAATTTAAGTGCAACCAAGCCCCCCCCCCACTTTTTTTTTTTTTTTTAACTATAGCAGCCATATTTGTGAAGATATGTCAGACATAACAAAACAAAGATCTTATGCAAGTTTTATGTTGTCAGGCACATCCCTCACACCTTTTTATTTGATATAGTTTTTCTATTAAATTCTGCCTCCTTTTTTATGTATGTTTCAATAAGGATTATATAGAAGAAAGGCTTCTGTATTTTTAACTATTAGGATGAACCAGCTCAAATGTATAGAGTAAGGTGGCCAAAGTACATTATAGTAAGAGCCACATGCTAGAATTTAGGAAAATTCAAGAGCCATGACTAGATTTCCTAAAAAAATGTAAATCTGCATTTACATTATTTGAAAAGCAGTAAAACAGATTGTAAATAGAATAAAACATTTGAAGCAATTTGCGAGAATTTTGTGTTTTTACTGTAATTGTGCATTATGAATAAATAATTCTGATTTCTTTTGCTGTATGTTCAGAAATGTTTGTTTCTAGGATACATGAAATTGAAAATACTGCATGTTAGAAATAATACTGTTTTTTTCCCTGAACAAACTAACATTTTTATCTGACAATCTCTTTCTTCTCTCTACTTTAACTAATTTGTTGTATCAGAAATAAAATCAAATTGAAAGAAGACTGAACCAATAATGTGAAAAGCTTTCATTTGAGTGAAGAATGAAGCACTAATTAAAAAAATAGATCGAATGTTTTTTTCTTTAACTTATACACAGTTCTTTGAGACACACAAAAGAAAAATTGCTATTTGAGAAAGCAAAAATGTTTTAAAATCAACTGTCAACTTTTCTAGGCTTTTCCCTGAAAATAATAATTAAGTTTTTCCTACCTAATTAACATAAAGACCAATATATTGAGATCTAACCTAACTTTAAATAATTTATTAATGCAAACTTGATCAGTTACACCCTCTTACTAGAGATATCTGAGTCCCCAGACTAGCAAATCCTAAAAAAAATTTTGAAATTCAAAAACTCGAATTTGGACACTTTTTTTATTATTTAAATCTTTCACATACTAATTTAAGATAATTATTTTAGCTGTAAACTTTAGAAATACTACTATTATAGTTGCCTAAAAACATTCATTAGAAAGGAACACGATTGTTACAATATCAGTGGTGTGTAAATCATCGTCATACTATTTCAGTATATTATCTAGCAAAATCTATTGAATTTTTCCCATAGTCTGTACACTGTGCTTTCTCAAAAATTCTTCACACTAACTCTCTAACTGGCTTGATAATTCTTGATGTGATAACATACTACTACTAAGTTGAAAATGTTGTCTAGCAACTCATGCCATGTTATAGCACCGTACAGCACTTAATTCCTATTGTCTACTAGGTAAACTATTATTAGAGCTTTTTTTTCTTCAAAAATTATTTGCAAGAGCTTAAATATGCTCTTCATTTGTGCCTTTTTATTAAATATACATGTATTTTTTCTTGAAATTTATATTTTGAATTTTATATTAAAAAAAAATTAAGTTCCTTTTTTAGTATTCCTTTGTGAAGGATTTGAATCTGAATTCAAGGAAATTTACAATCTGATGTACCTTTGTTTTTTTCTATCGCATGTTAAAAATGAAACTCATTTGTCATATTATTAAGTTTTAAGAATATTCATTATCAGCATAACATAATGCCAGTGTGCATAGATCGCTTAAAAATAGTATATTGCAAAGAAGCTAATGCAATAAAAATGAAGTTTACATATCCAGTATCAATTTCATCATGAAAACTCCAGTTAGAATAATAATGATTAAATTTCATGAGCTAAATGTAACTAAATGATAGAAGAGATGGGATGATTAGGCATGTAAAGGAAGAACCTCTAGCACAGAATGAACATTCAAGGCCTTATAGAAACATCCTTTTAAATTTTCGTTTGTTTGACTGTCATTGACAAGGCTTGCAAAAAAATGATTTAAAGGACAACAAATTTGGTTTGGAGGAAATTATTGCCATATTATGTTGTGGGCAGAAATCTAGAAGACTTTAATGCTGAAAGATATTTTTATCACCTCAGATATTGTGTTTTCGGGCAAAATGGGCTTGGAAGGTAACAGGGAAGATCTGGAGGATCTTAAAACTAAGCTCAGTAAGAAAGTGGAACAACTTCAGAAAATGAGGAATAGAGAGAGAATGAACCCAGCTTTTGATCTGCAAAATTATGCCAATTGGGATAAGGTGTAAAGTTTCATGTACTGTTGCTACTCTGATACAGCAGTAGGAAGCTACAGCATAAGTATTTTCAATGATATTATCCTACCTCACTTAATAAACAAATTGAAACATAGACAAGAGCAAATCACACTGGATAAATTTTGAATGAAACAGACTATCAGAGAGTGTCAAGCAAAGCCAAGGTTTCATTGTATTGCATAAGTTCTTATTATAAATTGAATGTCGATATTACTAATATTATGCCGCCTAGAAGGTATAGTGGTTAGGCGAGCCTACTGCGGTACTGTAGGACCTGGGTTCAAATCCGGGAGAAGGCATAGATGTTTGTAAATATATCGTGTCTGTGACATGGGGGCACTCTAAATATATGGCGAGCCGAAAATACTGTCATGTAGATTAGTGGCAGGGGAGAGGGGTGGGAAACTCTCGGACCACCCACCCCCGGGTGCTCTCCCTCAAAATTGGGGTGGAAATAGAAGTCCAACTCCTTGAGGCTCTGGCAACCATTCTTCCCTGAAATTCATAGACAAGACAACAACAATAAATAATATTTTGAGATCTGCTTTGCTCCAGAGCATATGAAGAAATGTACTTGCGCTAATATCAACTAATGATTCCATCAAACTTTTAAAGAGGACTGTGAAAGGATGTCTAGTACTTGACTGTTAATGAAAAGTACACCTGAAGAATTCTGCTGTTGGTACACAATGTAAGTATAATTTTTTTTTCTGAATTTTCATATTTCATTCTCTTATATAGTACTCATAAGTTAGATCCTATCTTTCAGTATAAACCTGATGTTGAACCAGTCAGATTCCAGATTTAATTATTGCTATGACAATTTTTAAAGCAAATTTGATAGATGTGCTTCTCATT